AGAGGCTTTGGCCATTGCTGAGCCCTCTGGGAAAGGGCTCTGGCATCTTCAGGAGTCATGAATCAGCAGAGACTGAAAGACCCAGTCACTGCTCACACAGGCACTAGAGTGGGACTGGCTGGACTTAAGGAGAAAGAAGGGCGTGGGAATAGGGCAGTGGTTAAAGCCTCCATGCTGATGCTCTTCCCTGCTCTACCCCAGGAGGTGCAGACTCAAAGTGCTGGATCTCCGGTTTATGCCTTTGAGGATGTGGGATCGGTGGTCTGTGTTCAAGGCTCCTGACTGCCGTGAGAACCAAGCAGTGGTGGGTCTTTCAGAAACGGAGGTGAAACTGCAGGTGAAGGTGGTTATAGACCTGGTCCTGCAGGAACGCCCATTAGAGTCCTTGGAGTCCTTTGTCATTGCGTGGGTGGCTTGGAGAGAAGGTCTATATCTGTGCTGTAACAAGCTAGAGGTCTGGTCCATGGCCACTTATTACCATAAAGATGTCCTGGAGACATTGGACCTGAACTCTGTTCAGGAACTGCGTTTGTATTACATGAATGATCTTACCTGCTTGCTTAACTTCTGCCCTTACCTGGGTCGTATGAGGTACCTGCGCAATCTCCTCCTCTCCTGCTTCTGGCTGCTTGCCTATATCACGCCAGTGGAGAAGCAGCTGTTCCTCACCCACTTCGCCTCGCAGTTTCTCAAACTGAAGCACCTCCAGCGCCTGCATCTGCATCAAGTCTTCTTCCCAGAGGATCCCCTGGAGGAGCTCTTCTGGTAAGGAGGGGCGTCAAGCAAATCCTTGTTCCTTTAGACATTAGCGACCACCTGTTCTCTGTAGCCCTGATGGATTAACCCTGCCAGAGCATGAGAATATCAGAGCATTGTATTGACTCTGCTGTCCTGGAGCAGGGTCTCACATAGCTACTAATCTAAAGAAGTAGGGCTGAGCTGCGGTTGGTGGTTTAGAAAGAGGTACCATGCTAGGAAGCCTCTCAGGAATGAGATCTAGTAAGAATGGGGTCTGATTTCTTAGCAAGTGTCTAATGTGAATGGGAAAAAGGAAAAGGAGGAGGGCCGTGTAGGGGCACTCTGTACCCTGAGCTCTGCTCAGCTTGCTTCCAGCTCTCCATCTAGGACAGGCTGGGTTTGGAGATGAGGTGTCTGTGGTGCAGATTGGGAACAGGATTGTCCGGTATTCCCCTCAGCCCCCCTCTTGTCTCAGCGCCCTAGGAGTAGCACAGGTGTGGACCACCATACCCGGCTTTGTTTGGATATCAGAGGGTGAGGGTATGGGAAGCGTGATGTCCCAGTTGAGAATTGAGGTCGGGATGAAGTGCCGTGAAGAGGCAGGTCTGTGAACCCATAGGCAGATCCTGCCTGCCTTGGTCCTCTCTGTGTGGACGGGAATTGCTGTCTTGGGTTGAGCTGATCCTAACGTGATGGTTAAAGGCCTCAGTATGGATTAGATTGAGCAGACTCTGTCATGGAGCATGGTGGCTACTGGCTTTCCTTGTGTGATTGAAAGGATCTTGGACCACATGCATATTCCCAAAACTGTCTTCTTGTTTTCTTGTAGGTGGCTAAAGACGCCCTTAGAGAACCTGTATCTGACTGACTGTTGGCTATCAAAATCAGCCCGGGCCAAATATCAGAATTCCCGTGCACAAGCCAGCTAAAACATCTGAGTTTGAAAAGGGTCCAACTGACTCATTTTAGCCAAGAGCCCCTGCAAACTGTGCTGCGAAAATCTGCATCTACTTTGCTATCTCTGGACTTGGAGAACTGCCATTTGTTGGACTGCCACCTCAGTGCCATCCTGTCCTCCCTGAGGTGCTGTACCCAGCTTATGTGGTTTAATATCTGTGGAAACCATTTTTCGGGGAATTTCTTGAGGGAGTTGAGAGACCATGAGATAACCTTGAGATCAGAAGGGTCAAGGGTAGTCACCATCCCTGGGTGTGATGATCTGCCACCAGAACTTTGAAGTGGTTGTCCAGCCTTGTTTGGAGTGTGTATAAAGTAGCTGAGAACTTTTAAACAACCATAGCATTGTCTTCCCGTTTTGAGGGATGTGTGTTTTGATGTGCGCATGATGTGTTGGGACTTGTTGGGCATATCAAGCACATATTAAGCTTCATGCACATATCAAGCTCTCCTGTGGACACCCAGGAGGAAAAGGCAATACACAGGCGGCTGAGAAAATACATCACACAAGGTTTTAGACTGGAACCATCAGTTAGTTCTCCCTGGAGAATTAACCTTGTGTCCACCTTTACTCTAATACAGTCCTATGGCTTTTGGTTGTCCTGCCTTTACCTACTTGTAGGCAAAATTCTTAGAACACATAGACCTAAAATAATTTAACAATTGGCTTGTCTTGCTGAGGCTGGATGAATGTCTTGTCTGTGAGTCAACAGCCACCCAGCATTACTGTGACATAAATAGTAAATCATGGAGCAAGGAACTCAGGACCGCGAGGGGTGCACCCACACACTAAGACAATGGGGATGTTCTATCGGGAACTCACCAAGGCCAGCTGACCTGGGTCTGAAAAAGCCTGGGTTAAAACCGGTCTTGCTGAACATAGCGGACAATGAGAATGGGTTTTTGATCCTACTGCACGTATTGGCTTTGTGGGAGCCTAGGCAGTTTGGATGCTCACCTTACTAGACCTGGATGGAGG